CCCCAAAACCCCAAAACCCCGCTGCAATATTTATGCGTGATTTGTTTAAATATAGATGATTAAATAGTTATTAATAATAATAAGGATTATCAGAGAGCTTTTACTGTGAGTAAAATGATTTTTAATTCATTGAAATTCTATTAATCAGTTTAATGATGCAATGAGCTATTAAAAATCTGATAATAATTCAGACATTCCTTCTTTCTCAAATATCACAATTAAACTCTAGCTTTTAAATATATTGAAAATGTTTTCTTTAATCTTCTTCATATACTATACTTTCATCAAAATATACAAATACAAAGTCTGTGTTTTTTGCATAATCAACTTAATATTCATTAAACTCATTGATTTATTAAAATTTTTCATTGATTTTCTCAAAAGGTTTGCGATAGATAATAAAGTTACTGCAGATTTAATCATTAATGGGCTTGAATGGATGAACCAAGTCTAGATTTTGAAGGTTTAGAAGAAAAAGATCATTGTACATTTTTCCATATAAAATCGAAGCTTGTTTTGATTTAGGCTATTGCTTTGGTTGAGAAAATTTTTTAAAATCTATATTTCCTAAGATAAAATCTTAAGGATTTTCCAAGTTCTTTCCATTCAAAATTTTGATTTTTCTTATATTTTGTTTCTTGTTTCCTATAAAAATCAAGGACTTAGAATCTTCGCCATCTAGCCAATTATGGCTCATAAATATGGATAATACAGTAACTAAAGAATATAAGCTGTATCCAGGGCTAAGATTGCAGTCAAGATAATAAACAAAATTATATTTTCTATCCAATATGCTTCTCATTAATGTTTTTATTTATTTTACCAAACAACAGGTTGAATGAAACTTTAATTTGACTTGAATAAGTTTTCGCTTCACCTCAATTAAATCTACATCTTTCTTGATCAATTGAGTTTCGTAAAGATGCTCGTTTGTTGATTTGGTAAACATTTTAAAGTTATAAACTTAATCCAAATCCTTGCATTTTAATGGATATTCCTTATAGAAATCCATACTTTTTTAACTATTATTTTCTGAATTACAAAGTTCCTTTAATTTTATTAATTAAATGGTTTATCTTTGAGATGCTGTCAAAAGTACGGCAATACAATTTTTTTTCATTACTAAAATCATTTTTCTTTTAATTTCTGAAGATTTTTAGTACTCAGGCAAATCAATGGATTCAATGTACTCAAGATCCTAATCTTATATCTAGTACCGATGAATTTTGCGTTAGTCGTTAATGAAGATACAATTATTATATTATAAGATTTCCGAACTCTCCTCATGAAAGGTAATAAAGTCGACTTCATCTAATTATTTTATTTTTTCTGAAGTACCTAAGTTTATCACCTACAAAATTTCTTCAGGATGTTCGTATACGTGAATAGAAATAAGAAGAATGTTCCTATTAATCCTTTGTTTTATATTTACTTTTGTTCTCCTTGAGCTTTAGCCAATCAATCCTGAGGATTATATCCCTAGGATCGCTCTTAAAGTACCAAGTTCACTCAATTATATTTTAGATTATTCATCCATTTTAAATTTACTATAATAAACTTTTTCTACTATTTTTGTTATAAATCAATTTAGGGGTTTTGGGGTTTTGGGGTTTTGGGG